TCCTCTATTGTTCCGGGTCCGCGGAAAGCAGAAACAAACTCACTGTCACCCATACAGTTTTACATACAAAGTGTGGACATTACTTTGTTCTCCCGTGGTTAAGGAAACTTGAGGAAAATGTTCCTTTTTCTCTAACTAGGACAACTCCTTCAAGCTGGATTTTTTATGATGATTCCCTGGACTGTTCCTCTTCATTTTGCCACAGATGACCTTGACCCCAAATGCCTCTGAAACTTTTTGTCAGAGAGGGGAAAACATTGTGTGGATATGTGCAAGTCCACACAATGCCATCGCACCCAACATTATGTGGACTTCTTTTGTGCAGAGGTCCACACTGTGCATGCCACGCCTGCACACTGAAGTCTGTGGAGGCAGACTGCGTATTGAAATTGAATTTGGCTACTGTGCACTACTTGTGGTCGCTAAGGTCATTATCATTCGCATGCCCCAGAGTGTTAACACTGCAAGGCCCTGGCAAGAAATATGGTCCACTAACTGTTCAAATGAGCCTTGTGAATCAAAATCTACCGTGCCACACGCATTAATTGATCACCATCTTATTCTAAGGTAACAATTAAACAAATTTTAATCACTTACCAACTCTATTTTTTTTTGGAGTGTTACAGGAAACAACTATTCTTTTGCTTGGCCGTAACTCCCAAGTTGTGCTTGTCTTGGTTTACAGGAAGAGAGCCAAAGCCTGCAGCAGTTCTACGTCTACAGCTACACGAGCATGATTCTCGCTGCCTCCCTGGTGTCCTTCATCGCCACGCTGATGCTCTTCCTATCAGGCATGGTGGCTGCCAAGCACCTGCACACGGGCATGCTCCGCGTCATCTCTAAGGCCCCCATGCGCTTCTTTGACACCACGCCGGTGGGCCGGATCCTGAATCGTTTCTCAGGGGACACCAATGTCGTCGATGCGGTGAGGGGTTTATTTTCGGTTTCAGGGGAGGGATGTTGCCACGACTCACCTTGGCAGTCAGGTGTGCGTTATGATGGTTCTTTCCACTTGTGGATTGGGTTTCCAGTCGCACGACCTGGAGCACATATTCTATGGGTTCCCCCCTCCTCTAAAATTGTTACAGCTTCTCATAAGCTCCTCTCTACAGTTTCTCTCGTCTTACAAGCTAGAATGTCCAGAGTGCTCTCCGGGAATCCTTGGTTTCAAATACCAGAAATACTTCATAATAACAATCATACTAATGATGGAATAGACATCACAGGTTGTAAGAGTAAGTCATAGCTATTTAGAAATAGATAGATTCGAAGAATTCACTGCAGCTGTAAAGGCAGCGAATGATTTCTTTTTTTTTCTTTACTTTTCTTGTCCAAGGCCTTGATCAACAATGTCTGGTTCTTCCTGGAGTCCACTTTCAGGTGTCTGACAGCGATCATCGTCAACAGCATAGTCAGCCCCATCTTCATCGTCATCATGTTGCCAGTCTTCATCTGCTATTTCATCCTGCAGCGCTACTTCATCACAACCTCCAGGCAGGTTACACAATGTGAATGTGTTTGTTATATCCCCTGTCTTGGAGTCTGCATTTCCATTGGCCCAAAAGGATCACATGACTGGTTTACATGTTGCCCTCATCCTTGTGCATTTCACATCATGATTTCATCATGACTGGTCCCCACCCCACTGTCCGAACCACAATGAGGGGAATGCTAACCAGACTATTCATATATTTATTGGAGGCAGTGTTACTTTCACCTGAAATTACCAGTTTAAAGACCAATATCGGGTAATTTTTTTTCCAAGCAGTTCCTTTAAATGTACCTATGTGTCCCATGTTTGTTACATGTTTAAGTTCAGTTGAGCGCCTGTTTGATTTTTTGCGTTAATGGGAATATGCATATAAAGCAAAAGTGTGATGTCATCCAAGGTGAAAACTCAGTGTTACAGCTACTTCTGCTCTAAAGTTTTCTGGATTTTTGGATAATTTGTGGTTGTAAAACTGGTTCTCTTCTGTGATCAGTTGTTTCAGTTCCTGACAGTGGACCAATGAGAAAGGATTTCTCACAAATATTTTCAACAAGCATATTTTGGGTTGAACAGAAAAATCCCTGAAATGAACAGTTGTCTTCCTGTAATCACCTCACAGCAACAGGGCCCTCATTTGTCAGAAAATGTGTGGACAATAGGAAGGTCATCAAGTGCACTTTTGAGAACTGCCAAGAAGATTCCTCAGAGAGGTTTCTCGTATTTAAGAGGAGAAGACAATTGCGTATAACTCAGAAATGCTTCTAAGTAAAAGTCACATCATAGCCCCTTTAAACATGGATCAAATTGAAATATTTGGGTATTGAGTTATTTGAAATGACTCATCCCCAAGGTTGACTTGTCCTAGCAGAGTGTACTCAAAGTAAGGCTCATTTTTCAGGTGCCTCGGTCACCGAAATAGAACACCTCAATGGGAGGCAGTTCACTGAAATATATTTCCACTTGATTCCAGGGAACTTCAGCGACTGGACAGCATCAGCAAGTCACCAATCTACGCTCATTTTTCAGAGAGTTTGTCCGGACTGCCAACCATCCGTGCATACAGGTTGGTGGCTCTGTGGTCATACAAATAATGAATATTCACGAGCGCAGTGATGAGAATGATTTCATTTGATGACAGATTGAATAACAATGTTGTCACATTCTGAATCAATTCATGCTTCAGCAGATGTTCCTGAGTTCCTTCTAACTTTCCCCAATCATTTGACAGAAGACTCAATTTGTTTCTTTAAAAGCAGGTGCATCAGCATCTCTTACGAGTAGAGAAATGTTTGTGTGCGTTAGTTTTAAGAATGACCAGTGCTCTGTGTTTATCGTTAGCTGTCTGCTGTAGCTGTGGTGTGTATTTCCATTTGACCGAAATGAGCTCCTTCACGGTGCTATTTCAGGTCACATGATCTGCAGCTCACCAGTAAGGTGATGTAGATTTATTCAAGCATTATTCAGCTGTCCGTTGTATGATGCCAGTAAAGTGAAATCTGCAGACTTCTTCCATTTGATATCTTGTTATCTACCGATTAAATTTTCCAAATGCCACACCAATCCCAAATAGCATTGTTGATAGACTTGGTCCACTCCAAGTTCATTAATCAAACCTCTTGTACAATTAACTTTGCTCAATTTTTTCCTCCTTTCTTACCCACAGAGATGAGAAGAGGTTCAAGAACTATCTCTTAGATGCTATCGATCAGAACACCATAGCTGTCCTCTATGCAAATACCTGCAATCGCTGGCTAGGAGTACGCTTGGTTAGTACTTTTACCCTTTTCCACAATATTTCAATCCTTTTAGAAACCCCATAAATTGATGTTGTTTTTCTGAACATTTGTTGTGCAATAGGTAAACTTTTGCTGTACCCAATTAGAACACTGACCCAATTACGCCGCATTTTTTTCTTGCTGCATCTTTTCAGGATGCCGTGGGGAACCTGTGTGTTTTTCTAGCTGGTCTGACTTCACTCACTGTGTCAGTGACCTCCGAACTTGAACCCAGCTATGTGGGACTTGCCTTGGCATATGCATTGGCAGTAAGTGACCCACAAGCCATCATCTCTGTACTTGGAAACAAAATGTGTTTTTGCAAGTTAATATATACTTTGTCATGATTTTTTTATCCGTGCAGGTCTTGGTCACAATTAAGTTACAGTGCCCAGTCCACCATTTGGTTGTAAATTTTTGTATGTCGTATATTTTCATTTATTTTTGTAGATTCTATAAACAGTGTATGAAATTGTTCCATCAACTGAGATAAAATTCACTAAGACAAACGTTGTAGCTTGTTATAGTTTGTTAAAGCTCAATAAAGTAAAAACTCTGTGATGATGAGTTTTTGAAAAAAAATGTCTCCAAAAGAAGATGCTGGCAACTTAAATGTTAAAATTTGGGGTGCAGACGACATTCCGTTAAAAGTTTGTGCTAAAACTTGCTACATAAAATCTTGAAGGTACTTTTGAAGTACACTTCGTGTTTGTTACGGTAGATATGCTACCAGGGCTGAAAACAATTTGCAAATAATTTGACAAAATCTGTCAAAGATTAAGTGCTTACTTTCCTCAGTGTTTCCACTTGTTAAGGATTGAAGACTGTGAGAACTTTTCCAATATAGAACCTACACCTCTAAAACAAACTTCCTTTTTTGGTCTCCAGGCTGCCAATTACCTGAATTGGTTCATTCGTCACACGTCGCTGATCGAAACGCAGATGAACGCCATTGAAAGGATGAAGTACTACAGTGAAATCCCAACAGAAAATTACAAAGGTACAAATCAGTGTATGAGGTATGGCAAAAGAAATGTGACATGGTAGTTAGGTTAAATTTACACCTCAAGAACTACTTTCTCGATTTCCAATACCTCAGGCAGCTGACGTCAATCAGCTACCCTCAAACCATGTTATATTTGTATATTGGCATGTGATGGTACATGCAGTGTGGCAGTACGTGCAGCACCACGTATGCCAACTCCCATTTCCGCATTGCTTTGTCACCTAGGTAAATTGCCCAAGCCTGAGTGGCCAGACTGGGGAGCAGTTTCGGTCAATAACATATCTGTGCGCTACGCCGAGAAACTGGAACCTGTACTTCAGAATATCTCTCTGGATATACAGCCGGGCCAGAAGGTATTCTTGTCGTGATTGTGTTTGCTGTAGATTCCTGAACCTTCCCATGACTCATTCACTGATATCTGTATAGAGGCTTTGCATGGTAGCCATCTTGTAGTGCAGTTATTTTGTTCTACAGGGAAACCTCCTTTGTGCATACCCTGTGGAACAAAAGCACTGGCCTGTAAGATGGCAGCTGTGCAAACCCTCCATTATGACTAGAGACTGCATTAAAGATCCAGTGCTGAAGTCACTGGAGGCCATCTTTGGAGGCCTAACGTTTAGCTCAAATAGTGATTGAGTGTCAGCTAGAGACTCAAAATCTCAATCACAATTGGGTGACACGTCATATCATGACTGTCTGTACAGGCCATTTCATGTAGACTCAGTGACTCATATACTACCGTTTACACCAGGATATTAAAGTAACATTGCCTAATATCTTTATCCAAGCAAAACCCACAGATTATGTAGTTGCTTTTAGATACTTTCTAAATACTAGTTAAAATTGTAGAAAATTATAACGTGCTGTTCTGCATAATTGAGGCAGCTATCTTCAAAGGTTCCAAAATTGAGTTGGAGTGCTTTTCATTTGTTTGTGCATTTGCGGCAAATATAGAGAACAGTGGGTTCTTTGTGTGTGCATCATCTTTCTGGTAGTAGGGCTCTGTGAGTATTATGGGGTCCTAGTGAAATCTGTAAAAGCTCGGCTTTAGTGTCAGTTATTTCATGGATTGTCATAACTATCGCTCATGCTTTCAAATAAATCTTTCCTTTTTAACTGTCTTTCCATTCCAGATTGGTATATGTGGGCGGACGGGAAGCGGCAAGTCTTCCCTCACGCTAGCCCTGTTCAGAATCGTTGACACTTTCAAAGGTCAGTCACAATTGCAGCTCAGTTACAAATTCAGAAAATGCTCAGATGTTGCTCCCTCATCTGTGATTCCCACATTGTGATTCCGTCATTCAGACAGTTTCTGCAACGATGAGAGAATTGAGAATTGATTTCTTTTGAATGGAGAGTGCCTGGTTTGGGTCACAAACTGTGTATCAGATGAGTCCATCTCAAGTCTCATCGTAAGACCCACCATAATGGTTGGACAGTGGCCAAGGGATGCTTTCGTCACAGTTCATTTGATAGCATGTGAATAGCTTGTGACTTGGCTTCAGGCTGTGACAGATTTTTTAAGGGACTTTTGAGGACTTGGGATAGACTCAGCTGCAACCTGGGCACATGGTGTCCAAACAACACTTTTACACGTGATTTTATTTGTAATGAGACACATTTCATTTTTCATAAATTTGGTTTTTCGGGGGGGGGGACTTTCAATATTTTACATATCTGATTCGGTCAAAATGTAATAGTCAATTGGAATGCCCGATTTGGGTTTTTTCTGTTTTTTTTCATAAATTTTTCCCAGGTAAAATATTAATTGACAGTGTTGACATCGCCTCTTTACCATTGGATCATCTTCGACTGAAACTTTCCATCATTCCTCAAGACCCCATCCTGTTCAGTGGCTCCATCAGGTAAGAAATATTCAGCCCAGTTTTCCTCTGTTCAGCCACCCCGTATCTTTCTCCCATCCTATCCTACCCTTAGCCAGCCTAGGAGCTCTGCATGTACCTTTTGGCAGCATGTTTCCTGACTTTTATGTTGCCAAGCAATTTTGGATTTTTCCTTCATTAAGTAATACAGAGCATTATGGTCTGAGGTTAGATGAAGATCTCTGAATGAAATTATGTACAAAACTTAACAACATGTCCATCAGAAAAAGGTGTAAATATCAGAAATAGGAGGTCCTGATTGAAGGGATTGGCAACATGCCAATTGGCAACCGGCAACATGCTTTCCACCTGTGCCCTATAATTGTAGCCTCTGCCCATTCTGTTTGCTTTGTCCCAGGTTCAACCTGGACCCTCACGGTAAATGCAGCGAGGAGGAACTGTGGACGGCACTGGACATTGCCCAGCTCAAGACAGTGGTGACTGAGCTGGACGCGGGCCTAGGTACGCTGAATTTTTGATGTTTCGGTGGCATATCCAATTTAGGGGACGTATCTGGTGTCTTGGTGTATTTAGGAAACCTGCAGTGTTGGAGTTAAGTCTTTTGAAAAGCCAATTAACCGGCAGAAGTCTTTCTTTGTTATCCTTCCTCCTTTTATTTGTAGTTGATCTTGCACAAATCTTTAGAAAAAAGAAGACTTTTGGTGACACAGGTGGCTAGTGGGTAAAAACACTTGTCTCTCTGTGGTCCAGGATTCATTCCAGACCTAAGCCGTATGCAACTAGAGTTTTGGTTGATTTTCTCCCTGTGTCCTGAGGGGTGTCCCCATTTGAACAAGTTTTCCCCCCATCACTTTCTCATGTAGATGCTTCACAGGCTTTGATGAGAGTCGTCACAGAAGAGGTGACACTGACAGCTGATTCTGGTGGAAGTGCACCCTCTTTGTCTAATTGTCCTTGTCTATAATAAGAGAAATTTAATGTACTTGTTTGAGAAAAATACCCAGTTTTGCTCTGTGATCCCCGTTATGGACCTACACGTGAAACCTAGGCAGACCGCCACTCTGACACACAAGCAGACGTTAGGGCAGTACACTGAATTTCCTGCTCAATAAGTATTGTCATCTTGGCGTGGTTTTGAGCCGAACACGGTGTTCCCCTCTTTGGTGACAACTTTTTTTTTTTTTTACGTTAAGACTCTCAGGTTGCCGAGGGCGGAGACAACTTCAGCATGGGGCAGCGTCAGCTGTTCTGCCTGGCTCGGGCCTTCCTCAGGAAATCCCGGATCCTCATTCTGGATGAGGCCACCGCCTCTATCGACATGGAAACGGTAAGTTGACAAAATGCCAAAGTCCCTCTTTCTCATTAAAGATACATTTCTGTAAGGGGCTAGTTTGCAACTGGATACCTGAGTACCGGACTGTGGATATTAGGGAATGAATCCAACTTTTTGGGACCGGGTACTAATAACAAACTGTACAAGTTAATGAGTGACTTATCAGACAGTAACAAAAAAGATTTTGAAAAGTTTCTGTTTGGAAATTTTGAAACAAACACCAGACTACATGGAGTGCTGAACAGATTTCACACTTTTGTAGACAGGTTGTCGATAGGCATCTTGGGTATGATAGAGTTAATAGTTTGAATGCATGCTTCGCCTATATGCTATTTCATGTTTTCTATGAATTTTGGAAAAGGTTTCTTTTGTAAATACCCAGGTATTCTTGTTCTACATAAATAACGTTCTTGATTCCCGAACACCACCAATTTCTGTTGATACATGTACTTGCCAACATTGGGTCAGAAATGTCAATTGGCCAATGAGCTTTTGCTGTAAATCGGGAGTTTACCGCACAGAAATTTATCATCTGAGATCAGCTGGCAAGCATAAAACTGTGAATGCCAGCACAGTATCCCATAGTTGACAGAGCTGTGAAATTCCAGGATTGTCCAGTGTTGGATGACAGATGAAAGACTTTTTCCATTTCCAGGACGACATTGTACAGAAAGTCCTGGCCGAGGAGTTCAGTGACCGCACTGTTCTTGTGATAGCTGTGAGTACATCCTGAGCCATCTAACTTGCATTTTTGGGAGGTGTCCCCAACACCTTGAGGTTTTTAAATCAGAAATTGATCTGTGTGGATGACGCCACCAAGCTTTTCTACTGGAGAAAAAAAGATACATCAACATGAGGCATGTTTCCCAGCCTTGACGATATGCTCTAGTGCATTTGTAAGGGCACGCCTAGTGGTGCGCTCCCCGGGGTAGCTTGTGCATTGGCTACAAAGCCGGGGCTGGGTGTGTACCCTGTTTATTGGCAGACAGTCGGTCAAAATAAAAGCAGTGCACTGACACAGAAATTGCAGCTTCAATTTATGATTTATTATTTAAAATTCCAAAAATAAGTGCTTACCCCAATTGTAGTAGGTACAACTCCAGATTAAAATCTGGCCAATCCTATATGATTCCTAATGATCCCTGATTCTTGAGATTCCAGAGAGTTCCAAATAAATCCAGTTAAATCATGGAGGTGAAAAAGCCAGATAAATCCAGTTAAATCCCCTGCTAATGCAGAGAAATGTAATACAAGGTCAGTAACTTCCCTCTGCATAGAACTTCCAATATTACAGTGGGTAAATAGAATGTTATTACAATGTATTCACCAAATCTTAAAACATGTGTAACTCACTCAGACCACAAGTAAGATCACGTTGCCCTCTCTCACCCTGGGTTTCCGCGACAGCAGTGGACCCCAGAAACGGTGCCACCAATGACCAGACGCCGCATAAACAAGTGCATTCACAGTGTGCACTAAAAGACACCATGCCCTTATCAAAAAAGGCGAATAAACTCTCTCGAAAGGAAAGTTTCAAACTCTCATCCCTGCACTAATTTGTTCCAAGATAGACCGCGGACAGATCACGCCCAAAAACTGATGGTTCTGTAAGGAGGAAAGCTCCTCAAAACGCTGCAAACTTGAGCTCAGAAGTTTCTCAACTTTTGCACATAAAAACGTGGAGAGAGAGAGGACAAGTGTGCATGCACCAGTGGCTACCCGAAAATTCGTCTTCGTTAGCTACAAGATTAATCCTAGATTTTGTTCCTGGTAACTTGGTCATTACAATCCAAAGTCATGCTACCTTGTACAATCATAAAGGGAAATCACATAACTCATAAACCCCTACACATTGACAGAGAATTTTGTTGTTGCGTCACCATGTGTTTACTGGTCGGAAAAGTTATTCTGCATTTTTATGGCCTTATGACTAGTGTTGTCTCGGAGACCATCACAGAACTTTTCACAAGACCAGACACAATACCACGCTCAAGAAGTCTCAACAACAATACCGTTACTCTTAAACCTTCCAATTGCCTAAATGCAGTACTGCAGTAACAGACAACAAGCCACATGCTAGGCACCGGCAAGTCTGCACTTGTACACTTTATTCCTTTCAAGTCGCTAAAGATCTGACATTTTGATTTGTGGCGGTTTGGAGTAAAATTTAAAGACTGTCTTTGCAAACGTCAAATCTGTGGGTGTGGATGTTTGTCCCTTTTCTTTTCCCTTAGGAGAAGCTCCCAGATTTTGTTAACAAAAAATGCCCTGTTTGTCCCATATTGTTGATGCAGCACCGTGTGACAACCATCCTAGACGCTGACCGCATCTTGGTCCTGAGCGAGGGCGGTATTGCAGAGTTCGACACACCACAGAATCTCTTTGCAAAAGAGGACAGCCAGTTTGCTGCCTTGGTCCAAAGTGCACACCACTGAAGCCCTCGGATTATGTTTTCTTTTGTTATCAATGACACTCTGGTGCAGTTGCTTCCTAGCTACTCGCGGTAAGGTATCCTTTCATGATTTTCTCCAGCCAAACTTGCTTGATGACACCAAAGGTCACATCCACAGCTTGCGTCTATGGAGCAAAGTCTAGCAAGGATGCCAGGTTTCCAGACAAAAGGTCGATTTCAAGGTTTTTCAGGTGGAATGTTGGGCCAAGTTCAGTTAACAAGATATGCTGTAAGTCATCTTTAGTAGTCGTCTTGTGTTTCAGGCTGTGGGCAGGAATGGGAACCAGGCATCCCTGGTGTGTAATCATTCACCTTACAGCCCCCCCCCCAGTGTCGTTAATATTCATATTGGCCTTTGAATTCAATCATCATATACCCAAGCACTGACAAGAAAAAAAATTCCACAAGGTGATGTATTCCATCAGGACTTTCAGGCATCGTTTCAGTGCCGATGTTCACCTTTCCTGTGGTTTTCAACACATCACTTGTTTGAGTCTGAAATGAAATGCGTTCTTGCCCTGCCCTCCTTTGCAGACAACGATTTTTGCCATCCAAGCTTCCCCCCCCGACTAACCTATGGAAAAGCATACTTTTAATGTGGAGAGCAAAGACTGAAATAAAGTAGATACCTTTAGATGTGCACCATTACTCTTGCCTTAGCTTAGCTGCATGGTTCAGTAAAATACAAGGGTGTACGCTGCGTCTTTCTTATAATCTACCCTTAGGGTGTCTTGCCTTGGGAACATCAGAAAATTGGATGAAGACTTCTTTCATAAGACCAACTTCATGATAAAGTACAATATGCATTCTGTTGTCGGTGTTTATAGTGAAATACATGTATGTAGATTTTGTAGCCTTACCCAAGGTTGTCTAGGGTTGTGGTTCGGCTGGGAGACAGTGTGGTCATGTATATAGACCACTGCATACACACCGCCGTTCTGTCTCACACTTACCCCAGCAACGGTCATGTCATTGCTGTGTGATACAACGTATAGTATGTATGACTTATGTGTTCACATCATGGACTAAATCAGTGTCTCGGATTGTACTGGCATGTAAAGTGTCCACAAATGTATTGTACAAAACGGAAATATTTACAAGATTAGTAGAAAAGCTTTATTGGTGCTGGCTGTATTTATTAAAGTTAAACTACCTCCAAACTGAAACCAGCAGTAGCAGAAATAACAGGTGAAGAACAATCATGTTTACAGTGGTCTTTATGTCCCTTGGTCAGGTATTTAATGCAATTACATTTACTGGAAGAATTGGACTTCTTCAAAGCATGTTTATATCTTCAAGCACCCCAAAGGTGGTTTCTATTCTGTTGATGTCAGGGTTGTAGTCGAGACCATCACAAGACCAGTCACAAGTAACAGCGTGAACAATGACAAAGGAATGCTTTTGTTGCAGCTCATTTGAATAGCTTGTGCCTTGACTTCAGACTTGAGGTCTTATGTTGGTCTTGTACTGGTCTTGTGAAGGTCTTAAGTGGTTTTGACTACAACACTGGTTGATGTATTTAGCACAAGAAGAATCTTTTTGGTGCTAGATGTATAGTATATATTGAAGTCATGTGACGTCCAAACCCAAGCTAGTATTGTAGAATCTGTATAATAGGATACAGTCTTATATACCTGTAAATTATTTTGCACTGGGCATTTTGTTTATAATTTTCATATATATTTACCAACTACCGTGCTGGGTATCTTCAGGTCATTAGCTTCAACTTACATTCAGCAGAGAGAGAGTATTGGATTTCAAGGTTGGGAACATCGAGGAATAATTGAAGTTGAATCGATCCGGTCCTAGCAGAAACAAGAGAAAGTGGGTTTTTTTGTAAAACAATGATTAGCCTTTGGTGGGGCACTCCCCGCATGTGCACACACAGAGGTTTGTCCATGCTGCGTGCTTGGTACTGCTCGTGTGGCCAATATTTGTGTGAGGACATGGTTTTCACATGTAGACTGGGTGACCGCATGAGTGCGGTCAAAACACCTCAGTCTAGCCTCTCTTCTCTTTGCCAATGAGGGTGCACTTCAGCTCAGGGCGGATACAGCCCACCAGCAGCTGTTCGCCCCAATCCATTTGGCGTTTCACACTGAAATGTTTTCCAGGTGTGCATGATCACCTCACTTTTTAACGCTCGGTTATGGGGGTGCACAAAATAGAAAGGGTTCCAATGAAAGTGACAAAATGTCCTCTGTTCTGGAAATGAAAGCGATGCCCTGAACAGCCTTTGTTTTCTTGTCTAGACACATGTGGTCTAACAATGGCCATTTTGCAACTTCTTGCGATATGAAGCGTCATTTTTTAGTGCATAAGGTGCATGTATGAATACATGCTTATACATTATATTACACATTTCGAGAATTAAGAATCAGGGACTTAAATTTCAATAAAAAGATTTTGCTTGCTACGGGTACTTGTTTGTGATTTAATACTAATCACTGAAAACTTTTTCTTGGGAAGTAACATTTTTCAGAAACACTGCCATGTAGTCTACGTATTATTTCTTGCCATGGTAAAAGGAAAATGCTGTTCAGAGCTTGTCAGTGTATATATATATATTGTAGTTCCATTCTTTGATGTAATGTATCTCGTGAGGTGTGTGTTGTCTAGCGCAAATGGTGTTTAAAAAGGGTTCGTCCTGTATGTTGACAAAAGGTTCCGTTTTCTTCAAATACACAATGCCACACTTTCTTCAGTTACACCCATCTTCACAATGTCCAGTATTACCGTGAAAATTCTGATTCTTGTGGGTACATTTCTCCATCCAGAAGACCACCATTTGAACGAAAACCATTGCAATCCACGAACGTTTTTGGGAGTAAACCTTGTGTTACCTACGTATGGGACATAGCAGGTAAAAAATCGTGGACTTGCCCTGAACTTTTTACCCATTGAATTTATTTTGTTCCGTGCGTCAAGAGGGAATGAAGGAGTTTTGCCAAACGTTTTGCTGTACAGGAAGGGAGTGCTCCCTTAAACAGAGCACATGTGACTAATTTTGAACATGTCTTTATATTGAAGGAGCACACTCATTCATGGGTTGTCTGATGGAAATGGCACCACCGTCTTTAAAAGCAGAGTTGTAACAAAGTTATCTCATGTCATCACAGATCAATGCAAATCATCACAAGTTATTACAGATCATCACAAGCCAACACAAGTCAATCACAAGTCATCTCAGTTCATCACAGTCATAAGTCATCACATATCAGCACAAGTCAATCACAAGTCATCTCAGTTCATCACAGTCATAAGTCATCACATTTCAGCACAAGTCAATCACAAGTCATCTCAGTTCATCACAAATAATCACAAGGCAATCACAAGTCACAACAAATCAGAAGTATATCACAAAGCATCCTGTCAGTTGCAAGCCATCACAACTCTAGTACCAGTTTTCAGAATTCAAACGTCTTCTTAAATCAATGCAAGTCAATTAAAGCCCCCAGAGATCATCAAAAGTATCACATCACATCACACTGTAGGCTTGATTTGATTGGAGTTGATCTTAGTGATTTGACTCATGGCTTGATCTTTGATGGAGTTGATGACAACTCTGTGTTGCCACATCTTCAACAATGGAGTACCTTTTGCAGTTTTACTCAGGATGATGTAGTCATGTACTTTCTTGTGTGTTCAAAGCAGTTTTTTTTAAATATCTGATCCCTGTAATGTTTATCTTCAACCACTGCTGGAAATGTTGAGTTGTATGGAAATCATACATTATTTTTGGTGCTTTGTTGGAGAATCAGGGACTACATTTCACATACCGAGTACACAGAAATTGAAAATGGCAAAGTTGGACTCATTTGAAGAATTTTGCTGGGATTGTGTTATACATGTAATAGTTTGTATTTGCCTTCAGGTAAATTGCGATCTTGCCGTAATTGTAGCAGTGCTCACAAATTATTGGCTTGGAGTAGGCCGGGTTTTATTTGCAGTGACGACGCATGGGCACTTGAGTGATCAAAATTAGATTTGAATTGATTTGGAGTGAAATGAAGACAAAGAGAGTCCAACATTGTCAGTATTTGTCCCTGAAGAATCAGAGGACATGATTTGCTAGTACTGCTTTCATGTTATTTATAATATATTATATAAGCTGCATAGAGTACGAGAGAGTATCTTAACGTAGCTCCGTCACCCAAGATGGTGGATGTAGAAATAACAATGTGCAAACCATCTACTGTTCATTGTCAAAACTACATGTACTTCCAAGTGCCTTCAACAAATGTGTGTTACATTTTATTCAGAGATTTGAGAATGTGCCAGTAATTTATAGCCCTTTTAACTAATGTGGGTTTGTATCAATTCATACTAATTTATCGTGCATATCTTCCAATGAGGCAATATTTGTATATTGACCAGTAGTGGGCCAATATTGCTGATCAAGGAGCCAGTTGTGGGAGGGATTGATTGCATGGGTACCCTGCTCGAGTGCCACTTCTGTAATCCCAATCAATGGTCACGCCAGCTGTTCGCACAGTCATCAGACACGCCAGAGGGATGGCGATTATTATTGACCACTTGGAGAAGCACCATAAGCAGTGAATGTCACAGAACATTGGTGGGATTACGCGGTCTCATAACTGAGAAATTGGGTAACATGGTTCTTGGGTCGGTAATAGTTTTGATGTACATGTAGGCATTCAGTTTGTGTACAATAGCAAATCAACCCCCCAGCTTATTTCACATTTAATTATATTTGGTATTTTTGGTTGCTACATAGTGCAAAGATGAGTTGTCAGAAATGTTTACATGTGTTTACATTGTCTTTCCTCGGTAACTTGGATAGTGTGTGGTAACAACACAATCACCTGCTATGTATGAATCAAGTCAGTTCATCATGCAAGGTTCTATACTTGTAAATAACAGATCAGTTGCTATTATGATCTGTCACAAGAAATTTCTCTTGCAGCCTGAACTGTGCACTCAACACAAGAAAAGGCTTAAGGGCAACTGGGAAATGTTTAAAACTGGACAATTTTTAGGATTAAGAATGATACGTGTAAGATGCTGTAAGGCAAACCCTCTCTCAATGAGTAATTTATAATTTATGAATAAGTGGGACTTTATTAGCACTATTAAACCCCTGCGGCACGTACCGGTAAACAATTAAAGAAATATTAAAATTTGAAGACCGAGGTTTGTTCTGGTCAAAGATCTGATTTTGTGTAGAGATTATACATGTACAGGTGTATACTTAAAATTTAAAAAGCGGAAGCTTTTATAGTTGATGTAACTACTGACTTACAAGACACGGACGCAGATTTCCCATTTACTGGGCTTTTATTTACAGCCATATGCCTCCTGATTTCGACTCACAAGATTTCGTTGTTTTCAAATGAATTACTAAGTAATTTTCCCTATCAAAAGGAATCAATACAGTCATATCTACCATAAAGTACTGTCAACACTGTGGCTCTTACCACTTTTAAGATGAGACGAAATCAGAGAAAGAAAGCATTCAAATCATACAAATTACAGCCAGACAGAAATAGCTATTCATTAAGAGATGTACATGTGTACATGTACGCAGAGCAATCAGCTTTTTCTTCACGTCGCAAAAAGTCAGAATGGGAGGTCCGAAAGGGATTTTCTGAAGAGCTGAAAGTGAGAATACAACATGTCTGTGCATTGATTCTGATGCATAGTGAGGGGTGTGTAGTGTCACACAGCAAAATGCATACAACCAACAAATTCAGGTTCACCAAAAATAATTATTACCTTTTTTCAAAGCTACACGTTCATTGGTGCATAACAATTGAAGTGTACAAAGGAATACATGCTTCATTTTACACAAAACCTTAAAATGTTACCCTAAGGCACAAACAATGTTTTATATATACTTCACAGGTACAATAGTGTATTTGTCAGTATAGACTTATTACTCAAATACGGGTTTGCATGATCAACTTTCTAGACAAACAATATTAATGTGCAAATCATTTTATGTAGTATAAGTCCCCCTCACAAGCCCTGGTATATACATGTATCTCAGAATTATACTCTATCCAATGCAACTTTTGAAAATATACAGCATTTACGAGACTTCTCCCTGCTCAGTGTCACATAAATTTAGAGTTTATCTTACAAGTCTGTAAAAAGCTTTCCAATCAGAACTGACATCTCTTTATGAAAATATAGAATCTTGAGATTGACATCTGTTCCTTTTTGGCACAACGCATGTAAGTCACGAATGTAAATCTACACCATAGATGGATGTGTCTTTCATTGGGGATTCCACATTGTAAATTACAGGGTAGGAAAAGCTAGGTTTGTCGAAAAATACCGACATCTCAATTCCAATCTTTCAAAATTGTTTGATGAACTGTACACAGCTTTTTCCCATTTTTAAACTAAAAGATAATGCCTGATTCCTACTGCAGTTTTATCTGCACGTACTGGAATCTGTGTGTTTAGATCAATATTAAAATCAAGCTCAAAAGTAAGAGGGCCTGAAGTTTAGGTCTTGAGACAATCTAGCTAGAAGGAATACACAAAAACGAAATACATGTACCCAAGAATGGTACTATGAAGGTTGGCTTTCACAGTAAAAGGCACTGTTTACATCACCCTGCCTGTAAAACAGGACGTGAAGTGATTATGGTTGCTTGATCACATCGCACGAACAATACAAATTCCTAGACTTCCACACAGTCTTTATTATGCCTGCAAGTACTTGGCTGGAAAGTTTTGCCGACAGAAAGAAGGACTGATCTTTATTATCAGTTGCTTGGTGGAAGGGCGAAAACCCGAGACTATTCAGGCATGGAGACTTTCCAGAAAACCATGAGTAACCTTTCCCTGTTTTTCTCATTTTTTACTTATATTGTAGTGCAAACTGACAACCGAATTTGTGTGCTTTGGACTGATGCAGAGAGCATGTGCAATATTTAGTTTCCAACTTAAATCTACATGTACTTGCAGTGTGGCCCACTCTACATGTACACACCCAGCAGCAATTTTATGACCGGTTTATAGCGTGAATGAAACAATAAAACCTGTGGTAAGTTGTGGCAAAAGTTCAAGGAATGGTTTGACCAGAACCTAATTGCGTTCGTCCGTGTATAAAGGCACTTTAAAGAGAAATGCACTTGTTCATGTACATGCAATACCACGGTAACTGTCACCTCGATGCTTTATTTAATACCAAATAGAATCTCTCCCCCCCCCATATGAGTGAAGACCCAATGACAGTCTTTGAATTACACATATGGATTCAAAACGATTACAAACACCTCTCCTGCAATAATTCCTTGAAAAATGTACCACTAAAAAGTTTGCGATATCAAAGGCGGATGTTCAAGTTAAGTTTAGCACATGCACAATGCATACCGGTTTGCACTTGAACACACTGATATCAGTCTGGGTGGTACAGGGTGTTATATGTACATGTGGGTCCAAGGTCCGAGTGCACCCACATAACCAGATATGCAAATAACACTGAAAACGGAACACAGGTGATACCTACACCTGTATACATACAGGTTTGCAGTCTTGTATAAATATACGATACTCATCCAGTAAATCAAGATTTGGCACTACATGCATCATTTGTACATACATGTACATGTACATCTGTCACATATTTGTTAAGTACACAGTACACGAGTGTGCACAATAAAGAAAAACAAATCTGGTCTCATGAGTCAGTGTGCGACATCTGGGCGTGTCACCGTCCCACATTCTGCACTGCGACTGATAATTGATCTGTGTGGCAAACAGATTTGGGGAGATGTTGGCATTTTTATCGCTATCAAATTGGCCGGTGTGATTACGTGAGCGCCCGGTTTAATTATATGAGGAATAGGATTGCACTGCCATTCTATCAGGCAATTACCTGGATGTGCTGAAGATCAGGCAAATGATTTGAACCAAAAATCTGATGACATTGCTTTGCCATTCCCCAATTCAACTGTATCAAATCAGTCAAAACTTGGGTCATTATAACAAAATTTTCACAACCCTGTCCACTTTGACCACGCATTGATGATAAAAAGTCCCTCTTCAATTAATTTGAGAATGAAAATTGAACCTTAATCTCTTGAGAATTTTTGCCTGGAACCTTTACAAAACCACCTCTGATTAGGAACACTGTGGCATAATATTGTTGTCTACCAAATCTTTCATGACCGGAATAATTTGAAAGATCTATAAGGTCAAGATACTCAACTTTTAAATGGTCTCTCTAATCTTTGCCTCATGAAGGGACTTTTTTTCGCTTAACTAAAACAGCCAATCGCAATGCTTGACTGCATGTACTTAGTTGACTTCAGGAGGAATTCCATTTCCACATTTAAGCATGAGTGCAACATACTTGAACTTGTACAATTAAAGAAAAAAACAATTCTACATGTGAAAGTAAAGTTACTTTACACAAATTTGGTCATTAAAAGTGAATTCTCTCCTCTAGGTGGCCAGCCCTAGAATTTAATGTATGCAGTAGATGCGTGTGTTAACATTACCCGAAAACAATAAAATGTGGAAAAAAAACGGAGCCTACAGTGTATGTACATTTTTTGTATAAAAAAGTGTCTTAAAACTATGGATAAATTGAACAAATTAAGTAACTCTAGCGCAAGGAATTTAAATACATGTAAAGGAAAATGAAGACCAATTGTCAGGATGAACAGGTTTCAGAAGTTGGGTTAAATTTTCTGTACATGTCAGAAGAAGCTTGTTCACATTTTTTCAACTGAACATTCAAATTTATGGACCAAAACTTTTTATCATTAACACTTGATGTGCAAGCTATAAAAAAGCCTACTTAAAAACTTGTGTTTTTCCCACAACCAGTCAAATTAAAGTTTCACAGAATAAATGTATGTACATATGCTGTACAGATATTCAGCCTTCGTTTTTTTCCTTAAACGATTATGATTATTGTACACACTGATTCCCCTGGCATCGCCAATGCCAGGCGGCATTAAAAAGATGTCTGCTTCAAACCCCGTTGTACAGTAGATGCAGGACGTGTTTTGGTTCACTGCTAAAGTCCTCTCTTGAGGTTACTTGTTACTACAGCCATCAGTTTTTACCTATTTGTATGTTTATTTCGTCAATTTTTGTGAGAAAACTATCCTTTGCACATTACTCTGGATTCCTTGCTGAAACCATTGCTTACAGGCATGGTTAATGGTGGAATAATGTCTTAGTATTAAGGATAACAACATGTACATGTTGAGTTTACATACAGGCACACACCGGCATTGTCAATGTGTATGAACTGAACACATTCCAAGCATCAGGGCAGGTTGAATTGATGGCTGACAAAGGCTTTGTCTAAAAGTTGTGGCTGTGGCTGGAAATAACATGTGCACCTTAGGAAGCCGCGTACTGGCTAGCAGCTTATAGATGTGTGCTACATTAGGCCATAGCCAGCTGATTTGGACATGCCTTACACTTGCTCATCAAAGCATTCCATTCTTAGAATAGAATGAGAATATACAGGTGCAACAGTTTATTCAGTGAAGTTTGCAATGCTTTTAAAGGTCATCGAGTACCTGTAGTAGTTTATATGATAAATTTATAAATTGGTTGCACAACTGATGTGCTTTTGTGCAACGTTCTTGCCCGGGAATATTACCCTGACTTACAGGACAACGTCGTGCACGTGCTTGCCCGATTTACTGGACTTGCTGGATTTGCCCGACTTGCTTGAGATGCCGCTGCGCGTGCTGCCTGCCTCATCGTCGCCCTCGGCCCCACCTGTCGCGCTGCTGGAGGCGCGGCTCCGCTCCCGGCGTGGTACAACACTCGAATACAGGGGATCAGACCCGTCCGTCCCCCGTCGGTTGACCGAGCTGCCCCCGTTGGACCGGCTGGCATCCCTGTCCGAGGCAGTGGTACCACTGTGGTTGCTGCGCCGGTCCAGGGAGCCGGCTGTTCCGTTCTGGCGGTTTGTGGATGGGTAGCCAGTCTCACCTGATGCAGTCGGGTAGCCACTGACTGATGACTTCTTTTTGCCATTGGAGAAGTTCCCTGTATAAAATCACCAGGATAAAAGAGACATCATTAAAAAAAAAAATCAACACTGTAGAAACTTTCAGGAAAGAGAGATGTGACCAATTTAATTGTTGCAAACCCCAGAAATCATTCACCGACCCCCTAAGAATCCTGGTGGTGCCCATGCATACAGGTCCAACATTCACAGGTGAACTTAAAATTTTCCCACATGCCCAGGGGAGACTTCGATCATTACTGCATGCTGAATATAGGCTGTTATCCTTGATGGCACACATGCATTAATTGGCAATTAAGTTCCAGCACTCCACTCTACTGGGTCGAAGCAGCTTACACCCTGCCCGCAAGTGTGGTAGTACGGCAAAGCTTTTCAGGGAGACATTTCAGAGGCTTGGTACCATACATGTACAATGTCCATGTATCAGTAAATGGATGTTTTTATTGTTTGTGGCAGCTCTTTATGTGACAAGGGCTCAAAATGATGCATAATGTCAGGAGGAAGGTCCTCACATTTGATGCTACCGAGCCTCTCATGTGAATCCTAATTTTTTACAGGACCATGAAATAATGCATCAAAGATATTCTGCTTTTACATGTAATTTTCATATTCAAGTAATGATCATCTTGCCCTCAATAATGTTAGAATGACTTTTCCATTACTGTGTTGCATGCCATGTTGTATATTGTTACATGCACATTGCTTTTGTATAATACATGCAGTCAAAGTTACATTGTACATCTAATACTGAATGTCTGTTTTTACATTTTCTCAAGGAATTTTTCTTAAACTATTTCAAGTTTTACATTGTTTGAAATTCAGTGTCACAGAGACAACAACTTGAAGTTCGTTTTATATCTGACATTTTTGAGTTGTTCACACACAGGATGTAGGATTTACATCATGCAAGTGATTGCTATTTCAAAAGTAAATTTTTAACAACTCCATTTACTGCATGTAATACTTTTTTTCCGCCTACGTGGAAAAACATTGGCCCTAACACTAACACAAACAATGCTCCTGTCTGTCCCAGCAGCTGTGACGAATGACCATGGAGGCCCAAGTTGATGTTTTTGAGTAATTTGCATTTCAATTCAGGCTCTGCCCAGATATATGGCAATATAACAAAGGGCCAGTGAGTAATGGCGATCGCAATTAAGGTCATCACGTTTTTCGGGGGGGCGGAGAAAAATTGTATTGCAGTATGTCAATTATTCAACACGTTTCAAGGTTTTTTGGGCTNGCCTCTTCAGGATCAATTCCATCTGTGTGGTGGAGTTCCATATAGTGGTAAATATGAGTAGATTTGGTTGTATTGTTCATGTATTATATCATTGCAAACTCCCTTAGCAGCATACACTATCTATGTATAAAGGCTAAGGTTTATCAATGTACAGAGGAATTCAGTAATATTTATTGGCAAATGCTGTGAACTTGCTTCAGTTTTATCCCGTCCAATTTTATGCAATTTGAAATTGTAATGAACATTTCATATAATTTGGAAATGGACAGAGTTCCTTCAATTTTTTTGTAGATATTGAATTGTATCTAGCAGAATAACAGAAATCTTTTGAACTGCGTTAAGTTTTATGGATTCTGGGTTATTCTGCCTGAATTAATTTGTACATGTGTTTGTAAATGTAAAACAGGGTATGCTATTCATCCAAAATGTAAAATCGTTACTATGATTAGAACTTATTCGTACTTTTGAGTTTGTTGTTTATTTGTTTTGGGGATGATTTATTGATTTTGTATCATTTCTTTTGTTTTGTTGTAATTTTTTTGGGAGGGAGGTTCATAGGTTTTTGTTTTGTTTTACATTGTTTTGTTGGCTTTACTTTTCTGCATACATTTGATTCTAGCATTACTTTTTTTATCCAAAAAAACAGAAGAAGCATTCTAGCATGGAGAGCATTTCTGACAAATGTAGTCCAGGACAGGGTAATCTCGTTTTTACAATATTTTTCATTTATTATAGGGTTCATCATCATTAGGGTTATGATGTAAAACTTCACCTCAAATGCAGAAAATGATTTGTTTTGGTCTGTTTTAAACGATTTTGGAATTCAACTTCACAACGGTTGGTTGACTTGTTCAACATTACTACTGTATTACAATAAAACATGAAAGATTATGAAATAAGTGTCTCAAATTCTTGATACTGTCTGCTGCCGAATCTGTAGGTTGGAAAAAAAATCAGAGTTTGATAATAATAAAAAACAGAGTTAATGGGTAAGGGATAAAACGAAGATAAAAATTTGAAATCATCAATACGAATTTCTCCCATTTAAACGAATCCGAGTTAGACCTCTGTAACTCGGAAAGAAAACATCCATTCTGAAATGACAGCTTTCCCCAGTGGACAATTTTTATTGCCCCCTTGTGGTGATAAACCAGTAGTCCTATGCTTTTGACCTCTGCTAAAGGTACCAGTCCTTGGTACAAAGTGAATGACAGATTTATGTCATTCTTTGCTGGTTGTGGTCATTCATTGCTGGATTGATCACTGACTTCATGCTGCGTAGTGATACGAAAATAAAAAAAGAAGAATTTAGAGTTCATTGTCACGTACATTTACAATCTAAATGAAATGTTTGGTGCACGTATAAAAAAGCAATTTGTAACACAGTAACAATCATTTGCAAACAGAATATCAATGAGATAATTATGTCATCAGTTAAAATGAAATATTCTGGGGCCTTTTTTTCCTTTCATTATGGAGTCTCCAAGAGTAAATTGGCTGCCATATAAGGGCAAGGTTAAGGTGATTTCCTCATCTTCATCATCCATCATTTTATAGTCTTGATACAGTTCTCAAAATGTTCAGTTTCTAAAGAAGGCAAAATGACAGGAAAATTCTCAGTTGGAAGTCGCGTCCAGGCATTCGATGAGTTGGGAAGATGGTGTGCAGCTAAAGTAGTCAAAGATGAAGAATGGTCATACCTAGTGAGTTTTATTGGATATACTGGGCATGATATCTGGGTGGATGAACGTTCCGTAAGACATCCAGTACCTCCCTATGAAGAGTATCATCAGAGACGTAAGTAACATGCTCATGTTCCATTTTAACATTCAGTTGTTGGTCTACCGGTATATCCGAAAGAAATATGATTTAAAAATTAATAGGTATTTAAAAGATACCGGCACTTGTACAAAGAATATAATGAATAAATAACAAATTTGTTATTTCCTCGTAAATGCACTGTACATGTTTCTGAAAGAAAAACCCACTTAGGAAGGATTAGTAAATCGGAATATTTGCGGCAGGCAAGTTTTCTGTGGTACATGTAAAAAATTGTCACCTGTTGATGTAATGAAATGCCATAAAACCCTAGAAAGATATTTAAAAAGTCGTCCCGTCTTCATAAATCACAGATTTCTACCTTGGAATATTTTACAGTTTAAAATGGGTGAGCATTGCAGCCAACAAATATTATATATCTTTGTTACAGAGAACCGCAGGCAAGCCACAAAAAATCACTGTCACAAAAGTGTTAAAGGAATCAGTACAGTTTTTGAGAGAGTGTCAGCAAATTTAAACGACCAGGTTGAAACAAGTGATGGACACAAGCACTATTCTAACAGTGGATCTTTGTTCTGCAAAATAGAACTGCAGTAAACCTTGAAAACATTTCATTTCCAGGTAAAGATTACTCAGATAAATGTTTTAGGGTTTCCTACATACATCTTGGTTATGCATTTTTTAAACTTCTTATTCCTAAAAATCCTGGAAAAGTCATGAAATGCAGTTTTCCAGGAAATGTAGTTTTCTGTGGAAACCCAGTTTTCACAACCAGGAGAGCAATTTAATAACAAGTTGACTCTAGTGTTTGATTTAATTTAATTATTTTGATATGTTTTCTGTAATCTTTATATTAGTTAATGAAATCTGTTTGGACTGTATACAATAAAATCTGCTATAATCAGGAGGGATCACAGAAACATTTTTATAAATCCCGAATTTTGGACTGGTAGTTTCCAGTTCGGGTTATTTTTTTCACAAAAAGCCCGAAATTGCGGGCCTATTTAGAAAGATAGTCACAGCTGGGCGAACAGTTTTACTATTTGGGATATATCTTTGGGAAAAGGCGAATAAAAACAACTCGTGGGTAAAACATGTAACATTGAAACGAAAAGTGATCTACTGGCCATAACCTTGAATTTCCGGTGAAAAAACCGGAGACAAACCTCCTCCGAGAGTCAACAGGCGGCGCNTTGTTAATACATTTAAAAACTCAGAATGCAATTTGTTGTTGATTTTTGTCATGACTCCTAAATATTGACTATTTTGTTGATGTTTATACTTTTTTTTTGGGATTTCCTTTAACAGAAAGTACTGATTCCAATGAACAACCTATGAAAAAGAGGAAAACGAAAAAGCAACATAAAAAAGTATTATGAGATTAATGTAGAGAAAATACAAGTCTTAAAGAATAAAGTGCTGTTGACTGTACAGGATATTGAAAGAAACGTGCATCCATCTACATGTATTTGCTAATAAGTCATATAAATATGGTTTTACTTTAAGAGTGAAGAAACAAATGGTTCCCCGGTCGTCCTGCCACTGTCCCATGATGAACCACCCACACTAAGGGCCAGACAATACAAATCCTTGTCAACGAGCAAGCAGTATTCAATTCAAAGAAAATGCCAGATATTGTAAGAGAGGTCATACACCAGAGGTATCCAGTTATGGAATAGAACTTACTAAACTTAACAAACTGTTCGGGAAAAATTAATCAGCAACCAACATATTGTGACAAACACTTCAGTAAAAAAATCCCGTATGACAAGCCTCAGTAAAAAAACAGAGAAGGATAAAAGGTAAATCAGGACAATCTGCTAAAATGCTCAATATTATGTATAATGTGTGACAGTGATTGTCATCCGAACTACCTCAGATTGGTTATGGTTATATAACTTGTTTGTTCTAGTATTAATTAAGATAATTCAGGTGTGTTGTTTGTGTATTGTGCTTCAATTTTGTATAGCCATGTTCTTTTTTTGTCAGTTTTTGTTAGTTGAAGGCGCTATATAAAACTGGTTATTATTATTATGTTCTCGTGTTTCTTGATTAATTATACTGATGTGCTACAGAAACTGTTTCTGTGACAAAATTTTTAATAGTTCACCAATTTATATACATCTTACAAAGACAACACACTTTGTTTTCTTAAACTGGTATTACTATAGTAGTAAAAGTGTTCGGAGTCTTTTGTCAGTTCTACATGCCTAAACAGTGGCGTAACTACAGGGGGGCACAGGGGTGCACGTCCCCCCCCCAACAGAGGCCCGTGCTCCGGGTGCAACCCCCCCCTTTGAAGTTTTGAAATAAATAATATATATACCTAGTTCAATTATTTTCAGTGCCCCCTGAAAAAAATTGTGCACCCCCAGGTGCCCCCTCAGCTGTGGCACCCTAGTTACGCCACTGTAACTAAATGAAGTTCATTATTCCCTAGTTGTAATTTATTTCCAATTTGGTAAAACTGTCAAATAGGACTCACATTTGCTGTATGGTTTTGCATCCTCAATTAAGTGTGTTTATATCACATCTCTGATTTTGTAAATATTAGTGAAGCTATACTACCCACTTTTATTCTTTCAAAATAAAAAAAATTAGTTGAATTTGAGTAAAATACTTGTTTATTTTGTGGTTTTATGGAGTCGAATCAACATTGGTGTGTTATTCGAAAAATGCAGCATCAAAAATCTATACAAACATGAAAGAATTGTTGAGACCATTTGAAATATACAAGGGCAAATGAACACCATCCCACTCCATCCCCACAAACACCTTGAATAAAATAGACAATTGAAAGTGTAAATACAAAGGAAAAGGAACATGTTCATACCTTGTAGAAACCTATAAACTTGTACATAATAGACCTATATTTTTCAGAACCCAGCAAAAAGTACTTGGGACAATGTATGTAGCATCCCTACTCGAGATGGGATCCCAGAACACACAGGCAGTACTTCTACAAAGTGTATTTGCATTGTGCATGTACAATGTACGTGTATTTACACAAGTGTTGTGTACACATGTACTGGTAAACTCTTTTACTGTGTACATGTAAATGTAGGCCACTTTTTCCCCCTTATTATAATTTTCTGTGACCAGTTTGTGTAAAATACTCCCAGAGGAGCCATTCACTGCAGCTAGAACTTATCTGGCCCATGGTTGACCTGTGGTTCTGTGGCATAGTCATTGGTGGGGCAATGCCAAGTCAATANACATGAATAATGAAAACTAATGTGATCAAAGTTTACACTGATCGATGTCTCTCCAACTTCTATTCACACATTACATGTACGTTGTACATGGATACGCATATTGCTTTGTCATACATTTAGTGGCATTTTCTGCTTAAGTCATTAACAAAACATTCTACTTCTACAAACACTCTCACTATGAGTGAATCTACAATCCGTAGACTTTTAAACCTTCCCCTTACAAATAGCTGGAACGAATACAGGTGGATTTCCTAGACTTACACACTATCCAAATGTGTTTACACCATTTCACAATTCAGTTTGTCCCCACCAAGCCCTATACATTCTCTGAAAAGTTTGACAGGGTTCCCACAGATATCTGAAATCAATTCCATGACTTTCCAGGACTATTAATAATATGGCGTTGTTCATGTCAATGAACACTATTTTGCAGAGAAATGTGTTTGGTATTGTGAACGGGATACTGCCATAGCCAGTTTTATATACTGACAAAAATATTTTAAAGCCAGTAAATTAATCACTATTCCTTTATGTCAAAAGTGACCCATCAAATAAAACCTGGGCATGATTTGAATTTCCATGACTGCTATTCTTTTGCTCCTCTGACAAAAGGATTCCATAAGTAGGATTAGCATTTCCCCCTAATTTTCCATGGCTTTTTCCCTGACTTTCCAGGACAACTTTCTACCCAAGATTTTCAGGGTATTCCACGACCACAGGAATCCTGGTGTAAAAGCTTACATATTTTCAACCACATCAATACATGTACATGGACAATGTGCAGTACAACGGCCCATATCACTACAATGTGCCCATGTATTTAAATTTGGTACCGTAGTTTACGGAGCAGCAACTGCACATCTTTATCACCGATCTAAGCCAAACCAACTACTGGTATTTTTCATTCTTCTCCCATCCTCTTTGCTGTGCAAATAACAAGCACGATGCCAGCAATTTATTTAAGAATTCCTGAAATGCCGCCGATGACAAGCTGCAAACGTACTATACATGTACGTGTACATACACTGTATCTGCAAATAAGCGTGACTGTCTTTTCCTACACCATTTCTGGTCCATCACACTTGGTTTGTTTGCAGTAAGAACCATAGATAATTTATGAATATTGGCATGTTGATAGTAGGCCGGGTCACACAAAAGGATGAGTTTCTAAAGCAGAGCCACGACCGGAACCGACAGACCCGATGCAATGCGGGGAGATTCATTTTACCGCAGAACTGCATAGCAGTAGCAATTGTGTGTTGACAGCAAATTCTTTTCCCAAGTTCACTGCCCTTGGTGTGGCAAATACAATTTTTCTCAGACTGAAAAGAATGCCTGGAATACTTCTGTTATGAGCACCTGTACGATTAGACTTGGTTTTTTTTTACAAGTGTGTCCATATAATCTTCAATGACAGAACCGGGTGGGCGCCAAGCATTGGCTCCATGACATTGAAGCTCTTTTAGAATAGAGGTTTTTCTTATGTATTTCTTCAATTTTGGGGGTTTTGTACATGCAATGTCAACAGTTAATCAACAGCCCTCCTAAATGCAGGAGAAAGAGACTCTGAACTGTTAGCTTACCATTTTTTGGACCCCCCCCCCAAATTTTATTGACCACATACCAGAAACTGCAACATCACTTTCACCAGTGATGCAACAATTGAAATACATATACATGTAACACAGGGAGTTACTCTATGGGAGACAAGTTACAAAGGAGAAACTGCAGGGAAAACTTTGAGATTTGTTGTTTCAAAGTACATGTTCATTTCTTAATAAGAAACATATACATGCGCAAAAGCTTCATGAATGATGGGAGACTTTTAGACGCTCATAGATCAGTGGTGTGGCAAAATATTGGTTCTTTATGACAGTTCTGGACATGCATGGCAGTTCTAAGCATGAAAACAAGTGTCATGAGTGTGGAAAAGGACCGGTTTGTCTGCCGCCACCAAGCGTCTCAAAGTCTCTGATGACAGAAGTTTCCTGAGTGATCACCTGTCAACTCATCAGAGAAAAGCCTTGTTTTTATTCAGTGTGAAGGCAATTTTTTTTTCATCGCATATGAAATACCAACACCGCAAATGTGCACAAGTTAAATGTATTCAGTAAGTCTTGCCATGCTCTGTGACACATCAAAATTGCATTTGTGTTGACGCCAAGTGTGATCTATGTCTAGCTGGCCGTACAACTTAAATGGTCTTGATCACCCATACGGTACCTTTGGAGGCTGGATAGTAGTCAGAGAACTGCATATCTGTGGCCAGCTTCTCCTGCTTACTGGCCAGGATGAAGGCCAAGACGCCCAGCACGATGGCGTCAAAGATCGCGACGATGGCCAGATAGAAGACCCAGCGCAGCTGACACTTGCCAGCATTACCGTAGGATACGTCGGGCCCGCAGATGGTGACAAACGCGGCGAGTTGAGACCAACTGGCCGGGTATATGAGGATGCCAATCAAGAGAAACAACCCTATTGGAAACAAAAAAATGCACAGAAAAATAATAAAAACTGTATCATTCAACTTATGATCATTTGCTACCAAGTACTTCAAGTACACATACCTACTGATGGCGTTCACTTTATCATCTTTTGGTCACTTTCTTATTTTTTAATTTTCTGTGTTATGAGATTTTTATGGAATTATTTCAAACATACATGCATTATAGGACTAAACTTCAAAATTACACGTGCATGTCCAATGTAAGACTTAGATGCTCTATATACATGTATGATGCATGCTACTAGAAAGACCCAAATCAAAAACCATCATAGGTTTTTGTTATACATGTAAAACTGTTGTATTAAACGAGTTCAATTCTTTTTTAAAGTGGTTTCAAGGTTACCTCCTAACAGTTTGAAAATGTATAAACGATTAATTCTTAACTCTCACCCCTGAACTTGAATGAGAATTAACTTTCATCTGAAGTGTCAAAACGACATTTTACTCTTTTAACTTAATGTTTTCGGGGGGGGGGTTAAATATAATATTCATTGGTATAGTGCATGACTTTCACAGTTGTGAGAGACTGTCAAGTCCCAATTGTCGAGAAAGTAATACTAAGTCCTTGTTTCTTTGTAAGCTAATCTAATGAAAAGGGTTCATTTTATTTCATTGCACAACAATGCAAAACGACCTGAACAATGTTAATTCAACAAGTCCGTGCCCCTTGAAACAACAAAACAGTGGTCGGTCACAAAATATTCAAGAATAGCAAAGCTGCTGGGGCATAGACACAACACACTTTTCACTAAGGGCAATCACACAAAGCACTGGCTATCTTTATCTTGGGAAGTTTACTTGATGTGTAAATACCATAGCCCATAAGCTGTTTGCTGGTGGCTATTAACAATGCATTGTTTCCAAGGCATGGGATTGTCCTGGTGTAGAATTTCCCAAGACACAATGGTAACCCAAGCAGACAATGCAAATGAAAGTGACCTTCACCAGTCAGGCTATAGACATGTCCATGTACTGTACACACGCACACAATCATACATGTACATGTACATCCTGTACATACAATGTATGTAATTCCAAGTCTACATGATATCCATTTTTGGTGTTTTATAACATGCTTCACTTTTTTTTAGTCTGACTAAGATTTGTTTCTCAGCTCATTTCAATACCATGGGTAAATGGGTCCAGTGCATTGTAAGTAATACTTCTTTTAATTTAATGTCCCTCTAATTCCAGTGGGTAGAAAATTTTTGACTGAGGTTCAACATCCTACATGTACACACTTTCTTTTCTACATGTTTTTTTTTTGGGGGGGGGAGGCTATGTGCCATCATCCTACTCATTCATTCAACTTTACTTTGATATAGTGCTGCCAAATGCTCTAGGCCCATTTACATGTACGCAACACAAAACCATATTAACTTGTGCCAAATCCTCAAACATTTCCAAAAGATTGGGTAAGCAGGTACAACTCTGCCATGTCATTTGCAAGGGGTTTTGTGCCTTTTACATAGAGTTACCAAGAATGTACCACTAATTGTCTGCTGAGAGGAGGGTTTAGGAGGATTCATGAATGATCCCGGCAAAACAAGGCCAAACAATTACTGGGCAGTTTCAGGTTGAAATGGAGTAGCATCCTTTCAACCAACAACTTGAACAAGCACTGTCAGAAAACTGAGATCCTGTGATTTGCATTTGTTTCCAAAGCAAGCCAAATGATGGCCCTCGTGACAAAGTCTCGGTCTTGAAGTCCCATTTTCATATGGCACTCAGAAAGTTGACTTTTCCCACATGCTCAGTAGTACTAGGGTCGAAGGGTTACAGGTTTCGATGTCACTAAGTTTACACTTACTGCTTTCAATATCCCAGTTCAAATTTGAAACATCACTTGACCTTTCAGATCTCCTTAACTTTTATAAACTTTGTCAAATAAAGCTTAGTTTCAATTTGAAATTCATGTACATGTATGTACATGTATATCCAAACTGCTGTCCTGCACCATTACATGCAGATAACAGCTTACTTGAAGGTTGATATTAAACAGGGTTCGATATGAAACTTATACACGTTAACCTGTATGTTATTGGCCAAAGGTCAATAATGCATAAATTAATATCAGGCCAAGGGTCAACAGACATTGGTATTGTCACATAAACCTTAATACCCTCTCAATACTTGAACATGCAATTGAGCACAGAGCATTGAAATCAAGTCATCCCAAAGGTCAATACCATGAAATGAGAAAATGCAGGTACATGCACTTGTTTAATTGCTTTTGGTAATTTGGTGTCCATTGACGATCAATTTTGACAGGGCAGGGAAAAGGGTCATGCCCTCCCCTAAAAAAAGGAGCATGGACTTTTTGAACAAAAAAATATGAAGACACAGCCTCCACAGGCAGCTGTATGGTGTATTTTATTTCTCTTCCTTACAAAAGGGTGATAAAAGCTTCCAAGTCTAGCCAAATCCTTCAACATGTCCCTAGTTAAAAGGTTACGCGCAAATAAAATAGTTTTCAAAATCTAATGGTTTGCACCCCCCAAGAAACAACGCTGCCCTTCCCCTAACATTTAGTTCTCGGGTACGCCCTTAGACAGGAGTGCCAAACAGGTTTTTGTCTGGAACCAGAAAATCAGACCAGAGAAGACTTAAACATACCTGAAATTAGCTCAACATGTTACATGAAAATGCCTAAACTCAGGTTTTTGCCTAAAAAATTGGCATTCCTGAAAGTTCCTGCCAGGAGCAATCATTCATTATCTGTTCTTTAATAGATTTTAAAATTCAAGTGGGGCCAAGCCAAAACACTATCAGGGAGACCATATCAAAATAACCCACACCTACAGTACATGTATGGCACAACCATTACATTTTGTTCAGTTTGGTTTCTGGGTTGACTGTAACTTTCGTTACCAAAAAAAGCATTTTATGCGAGGATGAGATCAGGTCAAGGCATATTACCAGAATCATGCAAAGCCAGAATTGGCTTTCCGAGGTTTTTATGGGTAATTACAGGATGTTTGTACAGGTGATTGCATACTTGCCAGTAAGATCAATTGTTATGTTGGCTTATTTTGTTGGTTTTGTTGTTACATGTATTTGTGAACTGATTACTGTTTGATTATTGTCTCTTCCTCCTGTTTTGAAAGTTTAATTTGATTCTGTTTATTTCTCTTGACTAAATAAATAATTTATACAAACTGGTACTTTTAGTTTCAATTTGTTACTCCCTGATGTTATTTGGGTCAAAGAAAAGGCAATAATTCCAAACATAAACACCACTAATTTTCCCTGCAGTGACCTATTAGACATCTGAAAGCAATATAAAAAATGTCGTAAAAAGTCTAATTTAGCAGTGAAGCTGTTGTGGGAATGTATTCACTCAGAAAATGCTTAGAAAACTTCAGACCAAAGGTGGGTGCACAGGATGTCAAGTACATAGCATCTGAATATGAAATTCTTTTCCAAATGAATAATAATGGTTTCATACACAAATCTAGACATTATCTGACACCCTGCAGGCTGTGTTTAAAATTCCAATCCAAGTGTTTTCTTAACCATTGCTTTCATACTTTCGCTGCTTCAGTGGACTTTTTAGGACATGTTAATTACTGTTTTCTTTCAGCATGACTGTTACTACAGGGAGAAATTAATGATGTCCTCCCCAAATATTAAACTTTATAACAAACCTGTCGCTAACTGTAGTGCTCCGCATATTTTAAACACGGTGGCCGTGCTGGGCTTCTTGCAAAGAAACAGCAGCATGCAGAGGATGGACAGGAGCAGGAAAGCCACCGCCACCGCCACGAAGATGGTGGCCACAAACATGGTGACGGGGATGACCTGGGTGGCCTGCGACACGTCGAGCAGCGCGTTCTGGCACACCAGCTGACCGGCTAGGTTGAAGCTGACGCAGTACCGGTACAGGCCGAAGTAGCCGATGCCCGTGGCGTCGGGCCCGTCGCCCAGCCAGTACGGCTGGACCAGCACCACGCACATGATGATGGCGAAGCAGAAGGTGAAGAGGGCCCAGGCGATAGCGATGGCCCGGGCATTCCGGATGTAGTTCGTGTGGTAATAGTAGGCGTATGTGTCCTCCTTAGAAGAGTTGCCCATTTTGAGTGTTTTAACGGTCTGATTTCCTCAGTTTTAGATCGCCTGAGTGCTTCAACCAATCAATCCCGTTCGTTAAATCCTCGTTACCTGTCGTTTCGAGTTACACACTTCATCCAACCTTACGCATCACAATTTTGTCCAGTTTGACAATAAAATATGTACAAATCTGTACATCTCTAATACATGAATATCAAAGTGTCAACGTCAGTCAACGAAGGCCAAAAAATGCTGCGTGAGTTCTACGGCGTTCTGCTCGTACAAAATGGTACGTCTGAACAATGGAGGTGCAGGTGTGTTGAACCGTGACCCGGGTGCGGTCACATCAAAGCAGCGTCTTTGGAGTGCGCCCTCTACGCACCTGTCGCCGTCAACTGTAATTGATGGACGATTAGGCTGATTGAAAATAACACATGATTTTTTAAGATGTGTTTGATATCACCTGGTACACGTAGTTCAAGAATACTGCCTAAGAATGTCCCTGCTTGTACAGAATTCACTGCAATGTTGGGAAATATAAGAACCCTACAGTGGCATTTTGACCATCTGATTCGGTGAAGTTATGTTTGGCATTGGTGATGAATTATCAAGAAGTTAGTGATAGTTTTTAACCTGAAAACCGCCAGATTCTTTCTGCCATTACGGACGCGGGAAGAGGACAGATCGAATGGCTTGCGACATATTTGTCATGTTGTAAACGCTGTTTGACAGACAGCCAGAAATAATAACAATGATTATATATTCCAAAATTGATGAAATGGCATCAGAAAAAATGTTTGGTTAAAATGTGTTATATGATGAGGATTTTTGCTTGATTGGTGGATATGCAAAAAAAAATGGTTAGACAATAAATAGTCTGTGCAATAGATTATTTCTGACAGTGAGAGTGTGAAACAATGTATTCTAAGTTCTGAATGGCAACATTCACCACGCCGCAACATTTTTATGTCATTTATTTACTTTCAATGCGTACAGGCAACTTTTATAGGCACAATATAAAACTAGAACATGCAAAAGAAGAGAATGAAACAGTGCACACCAGAGTTTTCTGATACTTAAAAAACCGAACATGAGCCATACTGTACATCTGCATGAACGAAGTGAGGGCGCTATTTGAAGTGTGTAAATTAACGATTCGAGTAAACACGACAAATTTCACCAAAACCAAAAAGTGCTCTCTTTTATTGTTTGAGCCATGCCTCAAAATCTAATTAATACGCTAAAGGTTCTTTGAATTCTACAAAACACAAGAGCCAGTCTTCGGGCAAAATTCTTCGAATTATCACCTTTCCCTTGTGAAAGCTTAAAAAAGCGGCGTGAGAAGATTCGAAAGTTGGAGTGGCTATTTCCACATTCGAATGTTGTATACATTATCCACTGGTATAAGAATAAGGGGGCGCGGCATAGATTCCAAGTTTGGAAGTCATACTCTTATAAGTTGGAGATTTCTTTAAAGCCGTTATCTCTTGCATGTGAATTCAGATACCTCTGGGTTTTTTTTCTTTTGGACAGACGTTTATTTAATGTTGTTCATACCACGGCTACAGAGTAGAAGATGAAATAAATTTTACAATAGTTTGCCTTAGAATGTACAATGTCAAGCAGAAAGATAAAGCACACGTTAAAGAGCAGCATTTAGGTACAGGGTGAAGCATAAATTTGCTTTTTTACCCTAACCTATTGACAGACACACATATATTGTAACATAGGACAATACAAGACATGCAGAGTACGCTCGATGCAGGCTATGCTTTATACTTCCTTTGATTAATGAAGTTGTTAGCCAAGCACCCGACGAAGACGACTCGCGCGACACTGCAGCAGCACGAAAGGCTGATACATTTCAGCTTGCTTCACGAGGAAGAAGAGCAATAGCCTTGACATCCTCATCACAGATGTGTTTGTATTTTTCAAGTCGAGATTCCGCAATCAGTCCAATCGCGACACCAATCAGGCGTCCCTGCACGTTCGAAAATGAGACGGAGGTGAGCACGTTTTAAACTACAGATGGCACTGTTTGTAATCAAACTTGCCTTGTGGGCATTTTTTTTCTATTTCTTATTTTTTGCCCACGCGCTCAGTATTTGTCCCATTTGCCAAGTGAACGTAGCCCCGTGCTGTACGTAGGAGGGCAGTTCTACAAAAATGGCAACAACGCGTCCGTAGAATTGGAATTCTTCCCGCCCGAAACAATTCGCACAGAAATGCTCACCCACCCACTGGGATGCTTGCCGGCTCACCCATCAGTCGCGTCCCTTCCTCCACAGCCGACTGAAAAAAGTCCACACACTAAAGCCGTCAAGCATCTTTGTTCCTCCAAGACGCATGCCTGGTAAACACCAGCGTTTTTATAACAATAACAATAACAACTCGCCAACTTTTTCACTTCATGTTGATTATTTAATATCGTTAATGTCTTTAAAAGCATAGCAAAAAGAAATCAAGCAATAAAAATGAATATTTTAAAAAATGTAAAACAGAATTAAGGCAATCACAAAATTGGCTTTATCGTAGAGAAAATGATTGGTCTCACCAAATCTACATGCATGTTGTAAGAGAAGATCAAAATCTTAGAAAATCAAGTCTGAAATGTCCGTTCAAGGTCATAGTAGCGATGCCATATCTCCATCAGGTTGCAGTGGAAAGACGCGTTGACAAAGTTCCACATCTGCAGCCTGTTTGCGATTTTGACGCATTCTGACATGATAAGCCGATGCGCTACAGCTGTCCGCTCATAATCACCTGCACTGCCATGGAGACGTTGATGATGAGGCCTACCGTGAACCCGAGCGCGCGGCTCGGCTGCGGCAGGGGCGTCAGGTAAGCCACGGTGTGGAGGAAACGAGACGCCGCGAAGATCCTGAAGTGCCAGGAGGCTGCAGAGACGCTGGGTCCGGTCAGGACGTAAAGAAGTCCCAGGACTAGAAAAGGTGGGATGTTTTCCAAGTCGTTACGGTGACACCTGTAAGCAGTGGACGATGGGAATCGGAAGGGATCACAACTGTAGGTGTCTCAGGCTTTGACAGTACTAATGGTCTGGTGTTTTGGGTTTGACAACGCTGGGTTGGGTCGGGCTGGGTCAGGTTGAGTTAGTCTGATACGGTTGGGTAAAATAATGTTATAACTGAGTGGCATCTTAATTGCTAGTGGTTTTGCAAGCCGGTGGAACTATATATAGGGCGTAATAAATAGGAGATGTGAAGAGGAAATTAATGGAAAGGGCGTTTTGCGGACCCCATCGCGGTTTAATTGGTAGGATTTTCAGTTTGCTTGTTTTTTGAAAATGAATAAGAGATAGAATGAGGAGCAAACCTTTACGGCGGAGGGCCGTAGCCTCCAAGTTATGTTACTGATCTTCCTTTCCTGTTGTGAAAAAGCCATGATATACAAGGCCTGCAACGATTACGCTTGATCCTTACCTACGAACTCGTTCAACACTGTCATCCCGCCGTACGTACTGCGGCTTGCCGGGTGTGTCTTCCGAGTTAATGAATACCTGCATGGAAGAAGATTCAGACTACTGGTGAGTAAAGTGTCATCAGTGACGACGATTACAGACCGTCCAAGCTCGATACAAACGCAAAGCGGATGCAACAAGAGACGATCGAGGGGAGTTTCTGCGGCAAAAGGGGGTTAAAAATGGTGTCAAGGATTTGCTTCCGCATTTAACAAAAGTATTTGTAATCTTTCTGTGAAGGGGATAAGCACAGTTCCTCACTCGGTCCTGATATGATGGAATTGTCAGAAACAAAAAGAACTGTTGGAAAGGTTCTTGTTTCTCGCTCCCGGAGAGGAACAACAATCGACCCCTTGAGGCACAGATGTAACGCTGAGGCCACGCAGCCCAGCCCTAAAAAGCGCACTGAGAAATCAGCAGTTGGAGCCGGAGTGTCATTAGGGCCTCGATCCATTGGCCAGGGGAAAATAAATCAAAAATCTTGATTTTCGAAAAATCAAGAGAAAAGGCGTTGGGAGGGGTTAAGTAGGCCTATGAGAAATTTGAAAGTTTTTGTCCCACCTCCCCAAATGATTTCGGAGTTTTTGGATCCGCGCCTTCGCTGGTGCAGGGCCCCACTGCCATAATAATCAAACTCCCTGCTAAAAAAATCGCCTACAGGCCTAACCTGGTGCACGGTAGGCCTACATTTGGGGCAGTTACAAACTGAGTACAATATTATGTGACGATTGGAGGCCTAATTCAATCCTAAGCACGATGCCCGTGTACCGCCAACTACAATTAAATGCAGTGAATAAAAATACTCAAACCAACACTAGCCAAGGTAGGCCTGCGCCTATGGCCAGGAGACCGTTGCGAATGACACATGAATGAAGCCTGACAGTTTCTTCATATCATTAGTTATTTCTCAGGTAAAACAACTACAAGACACGACAAGCCAGAAGAACACAATGAATAATGCTAAAACTGCTGACGTTTTGCCAAAAAGTGAACTAACTCACTATCTACTACAGTGGCTCTCCTTAACCCCAACCCGCTTCAGTCTTTCACCTGTTGGAGGACTGAGGAGTGTTAGGGTTAATATTACCAGTAAACAAGCACACTTGTATAATCAAAACGCACAGAGAAACCACATCACTCATCAGTTCTTTAAGTTCCTGACCCTCTGAGATATTCGGTGCTTAGCTGTCCAAGCCGACAGGAACATCATCTTTAGAGTGACCACGGCTGCGTAAGTTGCATATTGCTTGAACACTGGGTTGTCGCTGAAACTCAGAAATATTGAGGCGGCCATGTTGTATTAGTCAGCAAAAACAGTGTGTCCTATAATACCTGTATATGAGCGTTATACTCGATTCACGCGGTCGTCGAGCTATCTTATGTACACAGGTTATCCATGCATCAAGTGGGGTCAACGTCAACTGACAGGCCCGCCAATGGATGACCCCTAGTCAGTTCAGAAAAGAGCGATAAGGCCAAAAATTACTCCGGTTTCTGCGTTCGCTCAGAACTAAATCTGCTTGCCCTGAAGAAGGTTCATGTACTCAGTTACCAAAAGCTCGGCAATTACATGTTTCAGAGCACTGATTTTCTATTATATTCTTGTCAATATTCTGGTTATGGGCTTGGTCCAAAAGTGATGCTGTGACGCGTTTTTTTCTCTCTTTTTTTTCTTCAGAAGTGATATACACGCACATATGCTTTAGAGCGCATGCCCTTGTTACTATGAGAAGTTAGAATTAACAACTTTGAATTAATAAAAAGACTATAAAACGTGACGAGAGGCAATGGTTTCATTCATCTCATTCGAAAAAGAAGCTTCTATTCTTGGCAGGATTGAGCTTGTTAAAATACAGCAGCACAACCACAATGGAAAAAATAAATATGAAAAATGAATGTTCAGCTTCAGTTTCCAATTTCAAATGAAATTCTTATGAGGTAGCAGTATATGGCATTCTTTGTACGAAGTTTTCTGCGTCAGCATAGAGGAAACAAGTTGCACGTCAAATATGCAAAATGAAATAAATGAAAACAGTTCAGTTACATCGTCAAAACGAAAATAAAATTCTGATGAGTTGAATGATATACTGTGCACATTGTTTTCTGTTTTAGCTTATAAGAAACAAGTTGCTTATAAAATATTGGGGGGAAATTCAGCTCAGAAAATAAAACCTGCTCTTACTCTAATCTGCCTTTGTTCTGGGCAAGTGACGATGCATGAGTTGTTACATGTATTTTCATAACGCGATGTCCATCGCCACTGCATGCACTCGGCATGCACTGCATGCGTATGTACCGCCACTGCCATATGCAGCAAGGTATGAGACGGAGAGACCCCCCCCCCTGCTTTGTGT